TGGTGAAGTAAGAAAAAGAATTTATAATATCATTCTTTTACCTTAATCCTGGACATAGTTATTTCATTAGTTATCTCTGATATTTTTAATAAACATATAAAGTATTTACAAGCAATGACACCTATACCTTGTACCTCTTAACTGATGATAAGTGTGTAGGGCTATATATTTAATATACTGAACTGAGTGAGTTATAACATATTTTGAAAAGGTCTGTGGAGAAGTTAAAAGTTTCAGCAAGTGATGCAGAGGAGTCTGACTCGAGTTCTACCAAAGCATGCCGTAAACTTCATTTTGTGTCAACTGATCACTCATATACTCCAGAGGATTTACAGACTGTGTCAGAGAAATTTTGTGACAACATAGCTGACAGTTTGCTGAAAAAAATATCAAATCCAATTTTTGAAAGGTTAGTAATTTATTTAGTAATGCTTGTAATTTTCCATGCTTTATTTCATGTGTGAATATCTTGACATGTGTGCTTTGTATTTGATCCACTTAATGGGTGTTGATAAAGTGTGAAAAAATATGATTTTTAAATTATACACTCTCTAATCATTTTTTTTTTAAATGAGGCTTTTGTAATTTTAATTACTCAGATAACGCTGATTATTTTATGCACCAGCAAGGCAAAGTCAAGATATTTCCACTTTAAAGTATTTATCGTTAAATTTTTCTTGTTATTTTGAAGTTGACTGCTTATGAAGTTAAATGCTTCCTGGTCAGTGGTATATACAGTTAAATAGTTATACAGTCAAGTTGTTATTTTTAGAAATTTCCTTCATTTAAATAAATTTTGTGAGCATCATCTATGCTGTATCTGTATATACCACTGCATTTGTTGAATTTAGTTTAGTTTGCATGTGTTATTTATTTTTCAGCTGTTTGAATTTCAACACATAAAAATCTCTCCAGATTATTCCCAGTGAAGGGTATCACATGTATGGAATGCTGCTATAGCATAGGAGAAAACATGGTCAAATAGAACTATCAAATTTATGGAGATCCATTGTTGAAACAGTTTGTATTGAAAAACATATATGGCATGTTGTTACTTGTAGTATACATATATATCTACATATATACTAGTATATATATTATTGTTATTCAATACACTGGGTATCAAGGCATGTTTTCAGCCATTCAGTTAAGAACATCCAGGTTCAAATCCTGGAAACCCATTACTTTAAAATTTTTATGTCTTTAAAATTAATTTTTAATAAAACATTACTTTCATTATTTTGTAAGTTAATAAATGATTGTTTACATAAAAATAGTACTTTAACAATTTTCTTAAAATACTTAAATGTATTTTATATATTACAATATTCACATTATTTACCAGTAATTTAATATTTTTTTTTTTAATTTTGTCATTTTATAAGATTAGAAATTTTGAAATTTGTCCTTTTGGTTTATTTTCAGTGATTGTACCACAATAATCAACAAAGAATTAGACAAGTTAATTTATGGGAGGAAAAGTGTCCTTCTCAAGAAAGGAGCAGACATTCTGCAGGGGTGCAACATTTTTGCAGCATGTGTTAATGAAATGCAAGCAAACTGCCCTCTTCTTTTTGAGATTTTAACCATGTCTTTAGGGACAGTTGATTCCTCAGAGAAAAAGATTGCAACACTGGCCACCATTTATGGCATAATCCTTCACAGCAGGGATCCCCTTGCCTCTGGAATACAGAGAATGTATTCAACCTTAGCAATTCGATATCATGCAGATAACAAGGTACTTAATGAAATTGGGTAAAAAATGTTTGACATACCCTATCTTTCAAACAATCACAAAACCAACAAGCAAACAAAGAATATATATATATATATATATATATATATATATATATATATATATATATATAATACATCCACTAATTGGGAGAATGCATGCATTCCTGTAAATGTATAATAAATGAGAATTGATAATTTATTATGCTGTATTCTTTGTAGCTCATGCAGAGACTCAATAAAGTCCACATTACTATGTCCGATTCGTCAAAAAGAAATTTGATTAAGGAGCTAGGAGGAGCACTTGAAGAAAACTTAATCAAGGACATTTGCAGTGGAAAAAATGGCAAATTTAATGGCGATAATCTTGACATAAGGGTCAATACCAATGATATACGAATGACCAACAAAGACAAGCATTACCATTTCTTTGCTTCAAATTTTGTAATGGATAGAGTGATACCGGAAATTTGTGCTGTTCCGGAGGCACCTGCTGAGTTTACACCAAATGTAGATATTGACATAAATAACTTTTTTCTTAGTGACACTGAAGTAACAGTTTACAAAGACAGTTTGAAAGTTCTTCTCGGAAGGGTCATGGCAGAAAATATTCCTGCATTTGAGTGGTTTTCAAAGGTAATACCTGGACATATTCCCCATCTCTATCAGGAGGAAATGGCCAAGCCTTCAATAATACATCCCCTGCCCTTGTCCTTGAACAATGAGTGTTCATATGAAGGTTGTCTCAAAATACTACAGGAATATACTGAATGGATTAACAAATGGTACAGAAAAGCAGGTAGAGGTATTATATATTTCCTTGTTTCAAACTATAAATAACATATTAAAGAGAGTATTCATGATTTAGTCTTTATTTTAAATAATTCTGGAAACAGTGAGTAAAGTACCTGTAACAAATAACTGTATATTCAACTATATTGACATTTAAAAAAAAATCACTATACATAAATGTAAATCTAGTATTTAGAATCAATTGATCCACTTTATTTCTCACAGCAAGTGAGTTAGAAGGACTCCAAGTTCCTGTAGGTGGGGACCAGTTAACAAGAGTAAGATTTCAAGGTGCAAAAGCATTGCGTGCTGGTTGCCACACCATACAGGAGCGGATGGAACAACTTAATCCCATCATCATTGAGTTGTTTCACACTTTACAGGACTTTCATCCAATTATTTAACTCTAAAATTAAGTTGTAAATTTCATTCTAATCTGTTTAAATATATGCATTATTAATTAAAATTTTAAACAACATATTTCTATTCAGACACCTCATTTTATTTTACAGAAAATGTGCAAGAAGTTCTTGAAATTAAACCAAGGGAGAGATGTGGGAACTTTGGCCAACCTTAAAGTAGAAATCCAAAGGACAAATGTAAATGGAAATGTGAAAAATTGGTTTAAGGTAGTGATTTATTCAGATGGAATTTTTAAATTTTTACACATTAGAAAAATTGTTCTGCTCTGTGATAAAATTATTGAATCTCCAATTCAAAGATAATTGTCAGCATTATAATTTTTTACTACTAAATAGGCACATGAAGATTTTTTCACTTCTGTGGGCCATTCATACTTCCTGACTTACATAATGGAGAAGTTTCATATGGCCAATTTGTCTGACAAACCTGTGCATGATGCTGTTCCTGATAATATTGCCAAACTTCATCTGACAAGAAAAAAGGCCATTTTTGATGATTTGCTGAATGAAATTGTAGCAGACCTGTATATTCCATTTAAAACTCAGGTCAGTATGATATTGTTGGTATGATTTTAAAAAAATTTAACTTTGAAATGCTCTTTATATAGCAAATATTTTTAAATATCGGTAATAGAAATCTTATTTTCTTTTCCAAAGGATCCTAACAAAGTCAACATATGTGTACAAGTTGGAGGACAGTCTTTCAATGTTCTTTCAAATATTGTTGAACAAATAGTGACAATTCCTATCCTGATTAATAGTAACTCTTTCCACATTAAAGTTTCTTTACCAAGAGTGAGAGAAGGATGCAAAGTGAATGTCGATGGAGTGGAACTCTACATAAAGTGCACAGATCAAGACAACGGCCATCAAGACGACCTTCATAACTTTGTTATGAATTACCTCCAATGGTATTTTTGTAGTTCTTCAATTTCAAGACACTATTCATGAAGGTGATATAACAAGAACCAATATCATTTTGAAAACAATGATTCCATTTTTTTACTCTCACTCAGCATTGTCAAAATATTTCACCGAGTGCATAGATTATATTCTGAAAACAGAAATCACTCTACCCCCCGGATTTTGCTTTAAGAGTTCGTGCAGCATCATTTGTAAATGTTCATGGAGGTGAAGGAAAAAATAAGGCAGCAGATATGCATAAGGAAAGTGAGGTCAAGTTATCAAAAGATTTAATTAGAGGTTTAGGGGCAAACAAGACTGAAAATTCCATTGTTGCCATTTCCAAAGCAGCTCCTGTCATACAAAATATAGTTCAAAATTATGACAATATGATACTGATTAAAAAAATTAAAACTAGTCATAAGAAAAGATCATCTAAGGAGGACATTCAGGCAATGATAAGCGTTTTGAAGAAAAACTCTCCCTGGATTCATAGGGATCGATGTTTGAATTCATTCAAAGGTTTTGAGAAATCGCCTTTCTCATTTGATCCAACACTATTTCAAGTGACAGTAAAAAATACCATTACGAGGCTGCTGAGGGACATTCCAATTCCACCCGAAGATGATGAGGATCATGATGAAGAACGAGAAAATGGCGAAGAGTCAGACGCATTTTCTGCAGAGGAGGAAGATTGAGTTTTGTGTATATCAGGTATGTACTTGTACATTTCAGATCTATGTTAATGAGCTTAGGTCATTTGCATTCACCACCTTAATAATATAAATTATAAAATAATATAAATTACCTTATAAGTTTAAGTCAAACTTTTACTCCTTCAATTGCTGCAGCAATCTTTTGGTGGTCCGCAGTATAATGACTGGTTAAATCCAAAGTACTTTAATATAAAAAGTCTGAGGCAAGTTTCAGAATTTTTGCAATACTGGATGACTTCTTCACTTAGTCCCTTTCTGTTTTTGGCAATGTCGTTATTATTGAAATACAGTATTGCTGTGCACTGGGCTCCATTTCTACCGGCTCTACCGATTTCTTGAAGATATTTTTCAAGTGTCGTAGGAGGCCTGCAGTGGATGATCCTGGTAATGCACCTGGCATCCAAACCCATACCAAGTGAAACTGTTGCAAATACTAAACGAAGAGTAGGGTTTTCTTTTTTTAACTCTGTTATCACATGGCTTTTCATTGCCTCTGTGTAATCTTTGTGGAATTGTGCAAAGATTCGGTTTTCTGGATTCGGTTCACCTACATACTGATGCTCCCTTAATTCAGAGTTCACATACTGATAAAAGTAACCCAACGACTCTAAATTTTCGACATAAACAATAGTCACAGGGAAATTTTCCCTCTTCTCTTTCAGCTCCTCACACAGAGGTTCAATAATTGTGTCTAACTTTTTAACTTTGTTAATATTAGGAGGTCGCACAATCTTTTCTAGGAAAATATTTGGCCTGTCAGGATTGGCTTTGATAATAACTGGATTTATATACTGGCACTTTTCCAAGACTTTCTATTGAGGTTTCAGTCGCTGTTGCTGTTAGTGATAAATGTGCCGCAGATGGAAACAAACAGGTTAAGTCTCCAAGTTTTTTAAACTTTGGTCTGAATTCTTCACCCCTGTAAATATATTTCATTCAAGGAAAAACCAATGCAAAGCCTTATAAAGGATGAACAGTATTTGGTCACCTAACAAATGTGGATGAGTGTCTAGGATTTTAGATGATTCGGATCATTTTAATGAAGGACTGTCCTGGAGTTGTGTGAGATGTTTTGACTTTTTTCGTTTATCTTACAGTCATTAACCATATGAGAGACTGATATATACATTTTAATGGAATGTTAAATACTGGATTTTTTGTCTTTCCTTACCATTCCTCTATCATGTGAACCTCATCAATGGTTACACAACAAACATACTCCTGAAAGACTTTTGACCTCAGAATCCTACCAATCTTTTTAGAAAAAATTGCTTCTGGATGACTGTAAAGGATCTCAACATCACCATCTATGATACGCTGCATATCTTTTGTGACCAGCTTTAAAACAACAACAAATATTTTTTTAATACTTTTATTTGGTAGTGGTAATGGTAGTTGAAGCATTTGATACACCATGACCAGAATTTAAATGCATTCTCACTGAGTATAAAAGATTGCAATTAAATGATCCTGGTGAGTTTTGTGTTCATTCACAGTGTTGACTATAGTACAAATCCTTCCACAATATCTGAAGTTCTTCCATCTTCTATCTGTACTTTAAGAATTTTATGATAGTTTAAAAGAATTGTCTAAGTATAGTTAAATCTCTGTAAAAAGAGGGTTTCAATGAAATAGACTTTATCATGAAACAGTTTCAATGAAAAAGACTTTATTGTGAAACAGTTCACCAGCGAGTCAGACCTAAATAACATTATTAAAGTCTCTGTATTCAAATGAAATAAAGCCAAAAATGATAGTGCATATACAAGATAAAAAAGGCTGATATGGCATTGCTAATAAAAGGCAAAAAAGATGATTTATGAAAAAGACAGCCTGATTTTGTTGCTCATTTTTTTCATAAAAATGACAGTGTACATGAAAATATTAAGAACTTTGAAATTATTTGACTGAAATGGTGGCCATTGCATCTCCTCGCAGACAATCTGAAACAGTCTAGCTTGAATTACCTACCATGGCTTTAATTACCTAATTGAGGTAGCTTTATTTAGCATTTTCAATACAAGTTTTCTTTTCAATTTTGGCTTTTTACTTTAGATATACAATCCCTGCATCAAAGTGCTTTTTGTACATCCTGGGGGTAGGGGGATGCTAACTTTCCGCAGTGTGACTCCGTACATATATAAACAAATGATGAAGATATGTACCAGACCTGTGAAAAAGTTATAGAGACTTGTAGTCTGATCTGTACAGATTAATGTTATAATTATTATATATACGTTTTTGATACCTTCGAGACAGTTTCTTCCTCATCCGCGGAACGACACCCAGTTCCTTCAAAGTTCAAGCATAGGGCCTTTATTCCCTTAGAAGATTGAAAATGACACCTGGTCAACAATAATCGAGGTCAAGGGGGCAATGACAATCACGATTCCAGCTTTTTCTCTATCGCCTTGTAAAAACCACGGAAGTAATTGATACAGGACACTTTTACCGTAACCAGTTGGTAACACACTTATAACATCCCGTCTCTCCCATAAATTTCTTAGAGTTTCCAATTGTTTTTCCTTTAGTGAAAATTCAATTCCAAGTTTATTTCGAGCAAATTCGAGTCTCTCCTCCATGTTTCAGAACTATATGCGGATTTACTTCCGGCAAACAATTCAAGAAGGTTTTCTCCTCTCTGTTTACGAGGTTATTTATCGTTCACGGAAATGGCCGAGTAGTTACGATTGGGCAGCGATACAGAGAAAGTTGTCTGCAGCTTATCTAGGTCAAAATTTGAATTCAGCTGATGGACAAGAAGTGCGCTTCTTCTTTGCTGTTCATATATAATGTATTTTACAAGCCATGCACAAGGATTAAGGCTGGATTATCAACTTCTACTCAGCAAGTATAATTTCCTTTTCATGGATTAAGAAGAAATTTTAGATTTTCTAGTACCCATACATCATTTCATTCTTGTTTTGTAAGCATATTTGTAATCTGCGTGAAATGCAAGATCAAGTTCAGTTTATTCACCTAAACCAAAATATTGGTACATGGGGTACATTAATAACATATATACATTATATACAAAACTGGTCAGAGGTACATATACAAAACAAAAAACATGACAGAAGATTAAATAAATAAATAAGAGAGGGGAAAATATATCAAAGAAGACAGACTTCATCAATTTTAAGGATGAACATACATAGTTTTTCAGCATTCTTTCGTTTTGAGTTGACATTAGTTACATGAATTTAATAGCACTCGGTCTGTGGGAATAATAATTGCCCAAGTAATTGTTTTTTTTACATTAACGTAAGTTTTACATTCGAAGATACAATGAAATTCATCAGCAATTTGAGTATTATTACAAAGTGTACATATTCTATCACACAGTGGTATAACATACCATGTTCCAGATCTACTGGTAGATGATGATTTGCGATACGAAATCTTATAAATATTTTTCTAAAATTAGGAGATACATGTAACTTATCAATATAATTTTCAAATCCGAAGTTTTATTTGAAGATTCTGTAAATCTGTCCTTTTGAAGAATTAATTACTAGACCACTTTTGAATAAATTGATCTTGTAATATTTGTTTTACATTAGCAGCTATCCATTTATTATTAGTTCCCTACCAGTGAAACCGGAGGGGACTATAGGTTTCCTCTGAGTCTGTCCGTCCGTCTCTGTCCCTCTGTCTGTCTGTCAGTCTGTCCCACTTGGTTTTCCGCACTTTTTTCTAAACGCTTGCAGATATTGAGCTGATTTTTGGTATGTGACTGTATCTTGATAAGCTACAAGTCAAGTTTGAATTTCGTTCCGCTTCAATGATTTTTGACGAATTTACGACCTTTTAAATTTTTCAGGGTTTTCCGTAATTTTTTTCTAAACGCTTGCAGATATTGAGCTGATTTTTGGTATGTGACTTAACCTTGATGGGTTATAGGTCAAGTTTGCATTTCGTTCAGCTTCATTGATTTTTGACGGAATTATGGCATTTTCAATTTTTAACGGGAACCAGATTACACTTGCCGGTAGGGGACTAGTATTGCTAATGCAATAATCTCAGAATGCTTGTTCATATTGACACCCTGTTCGTACCATACAATTGATAAACCACACATTATACCATATTTTCTGTATGCAATCTAACCATGGGTTTGTTAAATTTCAACACAGTACAGTTTAAACATATGTTTGTATAAATCATTTAAAATTTTATTTTGCGGGCCTGAAAACACTGGCACATCCTTGGTTTGTGTATTTTTATTGATATTAATTTGAACATGAAATTAAAATATAGTATACAATTAATTCAGACACAATTTTAACTATAACTATTTAGCATATGTCTCCATATGAGTGAAAAATTCTCGAGAGGGACTTTAAACAATAATAAAACAAACAAACAAATTTTTCCATATTGTACATATGTTGTGTATATGAAAAAGTTGATCGTTATTTTGCTAATAAATGACCATTTTCGATTCTAATATGTGTTTGAGTTTAATAAGTTGAAAATGAAACGGAGCAGTCATTCAAAGGAAAAGAATTGAAGAAAACAATTTAATTGCAGTTGGCCGTAAGATTTCATCAACCACTGGTGGCTTTGAGACGTAATTAATGCCCTGTTTGGATCAGATCCATCGCCCGTGAAAATTACAAAGGAATACAACACTGTATGTACACTTTCATGTTTTTAACATTTTACTTCAGTAATAATTATTTATTATCATACTATTATGAATTTTAACACTAGGACAAATATAATTCCTCTCATTAATTCCATGTAAATGTCTGTTTCTTTTGCGGGGGGGGGGGGGGATTATTCATGTATATTTTTTATTATTTGAACTAATGTTATAAAATAAATGACTTTCACATCACTATATCTTTTGTTAACAGGTTTTGTATTAGAGGGTTGAGCTTCCTGTTCCTTTCTTTCCGACCGACAAGTCATTTTGTGGGACTACTATGCGCGTGATCTAAAATTAATGGATCCGCCACTTTGTGGAACTTAGTTTTAGACAGATACGTGATATGATGAACTTGGATATGTTTATTGTGACCCCCTTTTCACTAGGAAGATAAATTTTGTTAAACAGTGATTTTTGATATTCAGTGATTGGATCCTCGATTTATGTTTGTTTTAAAGTACAGTTTAACATAAGTTCACTCAGAATCTTAATATAGAATTACAGCTTACATATCTCGCAACTTGAATAAAAACTTTTATTAGAATTTGAAATGTATTTGATTATAAAGCAAAACTCAATATGAATTAAACGTGATTTCAACCAAATATCAACATTTGTACAACCAAAAAATTTCAACCAAAAGTCAACCAAATTTCAACCAATGTTCAAACTTTTTTTTCAATGTTGATGTTTGACGTTGAAACACTGTTGAAATTTCAACGTTGCCTGAACTTTCATTTGCAACCAAAATCCAACTATAAATCAACCAAAGTTTAACCATTTTCAACGTTGATTCAGCGTTGAAGCGCAACGTTGATTCAACGTTGAAATGCCTGATGGAATGTTGATTTGGAAAAGAATTGAATCACATACATTTATTTTACACTGGATATCTTAGGAAAAATAAAGAAAATACATAACAAGTCTATTCAGCGTACAATTCATATTAAAGTATGCAAACAAAGTAAAAGCGATGTCAACGCGAAAGACACATTAACTATTGTAGTTATTACATCAATTATTCCTCATTCAATATCATAAGTGTAGACAAATATGGTAATAAAAAAGAAAAAAAAAAACATATAATAACACGAATCTCTTTATCTGTGTAAAGAAAATAGATATTCAATCACAGCTTGCAATTCCTATAATGTCCAAATGCCAGAGTATTGACCTCATCACAAAGATATCATCAAATCCATTTTATGCGATCTTGTTAATTCGATCAACTGTTATTTTGTGATTTCGACTGATGACATCCATTTCACAACGAAGTGACTCATTTTTGAACAGACATTTTTATACTGCCTTATTGATAGTTTTTCTTGAACGACTGATTTTATTATCCCTTTTGCTTTACAAGTTTCTTTATACAGTACGCGATAACAATACAATTTCGATCGCAGACCTACAAATTCTTGAATCACCTTTGCACCACATTCATCTTTGAATTTTCCTAAACTTTTTTTGTTTGATGTATCAAACAAGAAATGATGAAATTAATGAACAATGTTTCACCTAAACCGTAAACTAAGACAGAACAGCATTCTAATGCATGAAGCTAGTGCAAATGCTTTTGATGTAAAATATATGAAGTCTTTAACTTATATGTGTGAGACCTCTGCACATTAAAATTGTGCGACATACAAATGCATTGAAAAGTTTTTTTTCCCGTTCACGGTAGCTGATTTGGTAAAGCGCTCGCTCCGTGTTCGGAAGGACGTGAGTTCGAATCTCGCCCGCGAATGACCTAAGGCTATAAAAAAAATAGGTAGCAACTGTTCCTTCGCCATGCGCTCGGCACCTTGAAATAAAAGTTGCGGGTCCTTCGGATGAGACCTTAAAAACCGAGGCCGCGTGTCACGGTGGGCGTTGGCACGATAAAGATACCTCACTGCTCAATGGCCGTAAGTGCCGAGTAAAAATCAAAAATTGGAAGCCCTTCACCGGTATATGGTGACGTCTCTATACGAGTGCCGGTTGAGAGCGGCAAATTTTGTCCTATACTCGACACTTACGGCCATTGAGTAGTGAAGGATCTTTTTTCGTGCCAGCACCTACTACGACACGGGACCTCGTTTTATACGGTCTCATCCGAAGGACCGCGAATGAGGCGTAAAACAACGTACAATCAATCAATTTCTTCTTAAATTTGAATTTACTGTTTATTCAATTAAGACATGCCTCCGGTTCACTATTTAAAGATTGTTTGCAAGTTATATTATTTAATACTAAATGTTTTCTTTTTTCCTTCCTTTCTTTTTTTTTCTTCATATCACGGAATAAACGCTATCCAACTCAAAATATGTCATTACATAACAAGAAAAGGGAGGGGGGGGGCTTAAGTTTACGATACGGTTTATTTCGTAAAATTATTTAGAGATTAACTTGGAAAATAATAGATTAATTTTTTTTTTTTAATGGAGGAGTAAATATTAAATTTAAACTTAATATATACACAATATTACATAATAAATGGGGTGTGCATGAATATTCATTTTGGTTAAAGGCTGGTTCTTAGCGATATGAAAAATTCCGTGCGGCGGGAATTTATTGTTCCATATAGAGAATGCCTATGCACAATAGAGAAATTTATCAATTATGGAGGTCTACACAAGATATTATAGGGCCTGGCAGGGAATGGCCAACATTAGTTCGCAGACTATTTTGGAGGAGGTGCTTAACTCCCTGAAAAAGGATATTAATTTGTACGTTTGTGTACGTAAACGGATTAAACCCAGATTTTTTAATGGATTGAGCAATGTTGATGGGCCTTGCTAGGGACAGAGCCGCGCATGGTCATTTTCTTGCCATTTTCAAGTATGTTAATTTCCTTCTACTTAGAGATTTATCAATTTCGATTCTATGGTTCAAATTAAATCCTTCCATGGTGGCCGGAACTACACGCTGTGCGCATGGAACGTAAGCCAGATACAATATCAGTATTTGGAATGTAAGAGGAGGCGGTATCTTTCGCCTGATGAAAGAAAAAACTAATC